AATTTCAAGTTTAAGTTGCGGAAGCTTTACAGAAGTGATGGTTCCGTCGACGACATCGCAAAAGGATGCAAGGTTGCCAAAAGGATGTTCGGCGGGTACGGCCAACGTGCAATGTCTTTGTCGTCCTTTGTCCCGCTATCGTCGGGGCACGACGAGGTCGTTCACGTGACAGACTTCCTCGAGGTTTGGGCGAGATCAGGTACCTCTGTCAGTGCCGTGGACGTCAGACCTGGGACATCGATCAGTGGTCCTGTTGGGTTCGCGGGGGGAGAGTGCTCTGAAAGGAGGATGGGAGGTCAGGGTGGTCTGCCAGCTACGCCTCCTGATCAAGAGGTGGGCATGTCAGACGACTAGGAGGACGACCATCCGCGTGCTCCTTTGAAACCGGGTTTGCAGGGATCTCGCCGCCAAGGTTTTCTTGGGGAGTCGACGCCACGTGGAGGCGGAGTTGGCGAACAGTTGCAACAGGGCTCACAATCGACGACTCCTCGTCGTCTGGTCGAAAGGATCGGTGCGTTCGTTCGTGGCATGCAGGTGGCCGAGGTTTCGCCTGACGATCGCGCTCGTGGTTCGCAGGTTCGAGAGGTGCGTGGGTCAGATGAGACGACTCGTTGGGACCAACCTGCGCCTGCACAACTGCAGACGGAGTTGAGCCAGGAACGAGAAGCAAGTGGGAAAGTCGCCGGTGAGGATGAGGTGTTCGAACAGGGGGTGTTCAGTGAGAGATCGCCTGAAAAGACTCAGTCGGGAGGCAAGCGCAACTTGGCAGATGAGGAAGAGCGAGAGGGAGTAGGTGCTCTGAAAAGGCAAAGAAAGGAAGGAGGGAGTGCTCGGACGCCAACAACACGATAGGGCGGTTCCATTGAGAAGAGGAAAAGGGCTGGAGGTGGGGATGAAACGCCAAAAGACTCGTTGACACGGCGAAGAACCGGTGAGTCTTTCGAGCAACGGTCGAAATCAACGAGGGAGAAGAAAGCAGATGAGGGAGACGGCGGGGAGGGGGATGACGACGTGGAGATTAACCTCAACGCCTTTAACCTCGACAATGCGTTCTTCCTCGAGTTGAAGACAGGGGTGCAGAGGGACGTCGTGTTCCAGAACCATCTCGAAAGAATATTGGCTATTCCAGACTGGGAAGATGCGTACAACCACCGATCCTTGGACGGGTTCCTCGTTGATACCATCGCGTCGGCTATGATCGACTGCTATGAACGTAAAGACATGAGATACACGAAGCCCATTTTCGTTCTCGCTCCCATCGTCGCGCCTCCAGAGAGGGGCGAGCCTGCTGTGCGCGTGCTGCCTGGTGACTTCGACAGCTCACAGCCCAAGAAATACTGGTATTATCCTGTGTGTGGACAACATAAGGCGAGGGCGGCGATGAAGGTGAAAGACCATCCCGTGTTCGAGTACTACAACTTTTGTAAATGGTCGTTCAGACCGATCTACTTCCCTGACGACAAGTTCGACGGCTACGCCCATGTCAGCTGCGAAGACAACATGAAAGACAAGAAGAATCCACCGCGCTTGCAGGTTTTGTCTATGCGGGACATTTGTAATACCTGAAAAATAAAGGGCAAACCGTGTGTGGTGCTCGGCAATGCATCAAAGAAAAAGGAGGAGGTGCGAAAGTGGGTGCAGTTCATGGCCTTGGCGATGAAGAAGATACCGTACACGCCTTTGTGGAACCTGTCAACGGAAGAAAAGAAAAAAAAGGAATGGGCTGAGAAACTTCGATACTACCTCCCGCTGGCCATGGCAGATCACTCCGTCTTCGCTTTGGGGGAGAAGTTCTATGATGAGTGGTCGAAAGGGAAACTCCTTGCTTCCAACGACCGGCGTTGGATTGAAAAGCCGCCCACCCATGAGGAGGTGGCCAAGCCAGGACTCTCCACTGTGACAGACAGCCAGGGGATGAAGAAACACGTCTGGTACGTGAAGGTGGACGACCCGTCGTTGAAAAAGGGCAAGGGGAAACCAAAGAAAGCCGCCGAGGAGAAAACTTACTACGTCCAAGTTCCTGAGCCGGATGTCCACTGCTGGAAGGAATTGGTGGACTTGACGGACCGCGAGAAGAAAAGGCTGCTGAACAGCGGCTTGAACCTTAACGTCGTGTGGGTTCAAACGAGTAGCAAGAACTTGGCCGAGCAAGGGAAGTTCGTTGTGAAGGAGATGATCGACATAATAAAAATGGACCAGATTATGCTGAGGCTGTGGCACTACATGGAGTTCGAGTACGAGGAAATGGATAAGCGGGAGTGGAATGCCAACTCCACGTTCTTCAGGTCCAAGTGCCAGCTGTTCGAAGAGTTCAAGGACAAAGGTCTCGACGACAAGCTTTGGAACGAGAACAGGAAATTTTTCACGGACACGGCGTACGTCAAGAAGTGCCCTCAGTTTCTCGGGTGTCAACACGACAACAACATCAAGAGAACGGCGACCCTCGTTAACGACCAGCATTTCCCGGCGGAGTGGAAGCGTGTCGTCCTTTCGGTGATCACTGGAGATCGCGCCAAAGGCAAAAAAAACCCTCGAGACGTTGATGAATGCATCAACATTTTGTGGACGAGGACAAACGCCTTGACGACGCTGGCCCAGTTTAACGTCGACCCATTGAGTGTCATAGATCATAAGGAGGCGCTGGAAAAACTAGGGCATCAGCTACGCTCCCACACTTGCGTGCTCGACTTGTGCGGAACTGTGGACCGTGCGCAATGAGACTCTGGGGCATTCGAGTCTCTGAGTGAGTTGCTGGGCTTCGTTTGTCAGGACTACTGGACATTGGTCGTATTCGTTCCCTGCCTGTAGAACCTCTTCTTCATGACATCTTTGTCTGTGCTTGGGGCTACCCGATGCTACACGGGGAAGTGGGTTCGGAAGACGGTATCGAAGAAGACGCATCAGTTCGGAAACAGCGCTTGGGAGGAGCCGGATGTGATGCACATCCTTTTCAAAGGTGAGGATTTGCGGCTACTGACTCACCCGGTGTACGAGGGAGCTGTTGCCGAAGACGATGCCGACTCTCTCTGGAGGAAACAGAAAGTGACACCCACGGATGTGGAGGAGAAGTCTTTCAAGTCCTTGACTTTCGCGGACATCGGGAACCTCAGCTAGAGGGGGGCTGTGTACAAGGACGACGAGCGGAATCCTAATCAGTTATGCAATCAACTTCTTTTCTTTTGTGGTGTGGCGGATGCCGTGCTGTTCTTGGGCAAGCCGCACGCGCAGGTGGTGTGGAGTCTGCTTCAGCAGGGAAGGCACGTCTTGGCCGTGGATGGGGACACAACGCAACTTGAATACACCGTGCAGTATGTCACCCATGAAGTGTCGTCCGGGGCTTATGCATGTGATTTCCACCATGTCGTGGTTGAGCCCGTTTATGACCTAAACAAGGACATGGTCTTCAAGTTGACTCCGAAGAAAAGGCGCCAGGTCTGCTCCTTCCTTTATGGCGAACAACCAAGGTTGAGATTTGACCACCAATATGTGGTGCGGAAGGAAGTCGCCATTGCAGTCCTCTAGGGCTACCACGAAGCGAGTTGGGGAGGCGCAGTGAGCTTCATTAAGAGGCTGGAATATGTATTTTTTAACGAGGTCGTGGTCGATCCGGCCAACTTCACTTTGGATAACTACAGGCTGGCATTCGGTGAGGACGACGACTTCAATATCGAGATTGAGTAGGAGGAGAGCGTTGAGGACGACCTCTTCGATTTGGAAGGGCAATTGGCCATCTTCAGCGCCCAAGTTTCTGAGTCGCCGTCAGTATGCAAACCGGGGACACCTCTCGCCACACCCACCTTGGGCGATCCCACGTCCGTGTCCTCCTCAGTGCCTGTCAAGAGGGGTGGGTTGTCCCGTCTGAGGAGTTCGCCGGGGGAGCCTATTCATCTCATACCGCAGCCCGAACGTCTTCAACCCGGCCATCCAGTTCCTCCGTGCCATTCGCATCTCGCGGCTCCTGCAAATCCCTACCACGTGGGCGACAAACACACCTTCTCCACAGCCGAAGATTGGGGGCCATGATATGGTGTGGCACCCCGACCATTTCCAGCCAGTCCTTCTCGACGGCAACTGGGCAGTGGTTGTGAGGGACTTAAGTGGAGGGTGCATATATGACGATCGTTGGGACCTCGAGATTGGAGAGATTAAGTGAGGTCAATCGACGAAGTAAGGACGACCCTGCTCTGCGCGCATACGGGGAAACACTGTTCGATTTATTGCAGTCAAATAAATGGCTGGAAGTATCCTCCGCGTTCTACGACCTTCCGTCAAGCCCGTCAATTAAGCAAGTGAGTACGGAGTTGCCTGCGGTCACCCCGCCGGCAGGAGTTGTGAAGCACAAGTATCACAGAAAGGACGGCGAAGGGGATGGTGAAGGCGGCGGGCAACGAGGTACCGGAGGTGGAAGTGAACAGTGTTCGACGAAACATCGGTCTCTGGGCCACGCGGGCAGCGGAGAGGGAAAAAAGGGCAGCCGGGAGAAGAAAAAGCCTCGCAGCGGAGAGAAGACAAAGCATCACACAGGAGACGGGCAGGGGGCCAATGTCGACCGCGACGAGGACGGTGGGGTTCTGGCGGTAACAGGCAGCACGTCAATGGAGACGGAGAACGACTTCAGGCATGGGTGGATTACGCGGCCTGGCGAGCAGGACCGTGTGATTAGCTCGGTTGGCGGATTGTCTCGGATCAATCCGAACCTCGGAGACGACATCGTCGTCCGGAAATCAGTGCCTTCCGGGAAGCGAGACAATAACATACCCCGGATCCGGCAGCGACAAGCTCGAACCATGTTCAGTTTCGCATCAAAAGGAAGTTCGGATTAATCTGAACCGGGAAGCCAGTACCGTTGAGAGAGCACAGCGGTCTACGGAACTCGAACGGGTGGTCCGGGTTTCCGAAAACCCTGGCGCCGAAATTTGGATTCATCCGAACCAGAAGGACGTGTCTGCCATGACAGACGATCGGTGTCAGGACGCGGTAATGATGCGCATGGAAGTCCACAAGGAGCTGCAGACAGACTGTCCGACTGAGGGTGAGTTAGCGACCAGTTTCAATGTCGAGCCCCGCACACTCGAAGCCGAATGCCTGGTGACGGTACGCGCTGAGTAAGCAGTCTTAAGTGACTCTCCGGTGAAAGCGGACACGTCGGCGCCATTCGAAACTGCGGGGGCTCGGATGAATCTGAACCAGGGCCCTGTGAGCATGTCCCTCCCTTATGCAGCTTTGGAGACGACCGTAATTCGGATTTATTCGAGACACACGGACGAAGGACTTCAACTGGCAGGCGTTGAGGGTTGTCGACTTCTGACGACTTACAAGGACGATTCTGCCGACGACCGGATTGATCCGACACTCAGCGACGTGGGGATGGAGCAACCAGTTAAGCCGGCATACAACGACCCCTTGTACTCTGGCCTTCACGACGACGCGATAGGAGAGGACGTTCTGAAGAAGTCCTCTGACGCTGTTGGAGATAGATTTCTCTATTTAAGTGACGACGATAAAGACACAGCGCACAAGGACAATAAGTTAAGGGGGGGAGAGGTGTTGTTGTACATCCATGGGACCTTGATCACAACACAATATGACACAGTGGCAATGGAGAAAACCCAACCTGTCGATGTTGTGGACATCGACGCTCTTTGTCAGGAGACCGACAAACTAAAATTGCCCGTCGTGGACGCGGAGGATTTCCGCTATCGGGATAGGGATGAATTTATGCTGTCTCCAGTCATCGACGCGGACATCTCGAACCTGTCCAGGTTCCCTGTGGGTTTGGAGCACGTCGTCGCCGCGTCGACGCGCACAGGGGCGCCAATCGTGCTGGGACTGCCATCGGTGGGCTCTGGTGACGTGGAATCTAATCCTGGTAAGCACTTACTTTCTGTGCTTGCTTTCCGCTCGTCAGCCCGTTCGTGAAGTGTTGTTTGCTTCGTCGATTTCGGGGAGGTGTGTAGGCGGCCGCCAACTAGATTGTGACAATGTGCTTCCTGAGGTGCTGTTTGCTTGGTTGCTCTTGCGAAGTTGTGTTGTTGATCTCCTGTTGAACTCTCTGGGTGGCTATTTCTTGTACAGGTCGACGAACTCATGGACAAACACACATGTCGCAGGAGCAGCGTGCCCTTGCCAGGTTGTCAGTCCTGGTTGCGGGTGTCACTGATTCCTTTCCAGGGGACACTAAACCTCGGGGCCCTCCCAGAAGGGTAGTCGTGCCCGTATTGGGCCCTCGCGCTAGACTCGTTGCAGAGGCAGCGGGTGTTGCCAAAAAAGACTGCAAGGAATTCCTTCTTGAGGCTTGCAAGGATATAAAAAAGGACAGTGCTAGTTTTGAATCAACTGTGTGTGGAAGGTCCTGAAGTAGGGGTGACGTTATGCGTGAACATTTCGGGCCTCAGAGTAGCGGTTCGACGGACCATGGCCGCTAGGATGCCATTTTCTCATAGTGCCCCATCCTTTGTGCTTGCTGTGTGCTGCGGGTGTTTGTTGAACAGGGTTTCCTCGAGATGGAAGAGCAGTCCTTGAAGACSTTATMTGCTCCCGRTTGCCGCTCACTATCATCGTCGCGCGTTTGCCGTCGCACAATTTACAGGTATCCATCAAGGACATCGTCGCACTCGTGGATGGATCCGGGGAGCTCAACGATGAGGTCGTCAATTTCTACATGGCGATGCTACTGGATGACTACAGCCGGACTGTTGCTACCAAGAAGACGTACACCTTTAACTCTTTCTTCGCCTCTACACTGCTTCTGCGAGGTCCGGCAACTGTTAGCAGATGGGCTAAAGATGTCGACCTCCTGTCTCATGATCTCGTCTTGGCACCAGTGCACGAGGACGGCAAACACTGAAGCCTTTTGGCGATTGACTTCTTTAGACGTGTTTTGGAAATCTATGATTCTTTCTCGTGTTTGTCATCCAAAGATTCCTTCGACTCCGAACTTTTAGATAAAACTGTTAATTTTTTGAACACGGTGGCAGGTGCCGCTGGTGATGGTCGCACTTTCGACCACTTCGCTCGCGAGGTCAGCGTGAAAGGTGTCCCTCGGCAGCACGACGGGGCTAGTTGTGGGGTGTTCATGTTGATGTTCGTTTCCTGTTTGGCGAGAGGTTTACGTCCACCTTTTGGTTTCTCCCATAGACACATCTCCTCTATCAGAGCTAGACTAGCTTTGGCGATTTGCGATGTTGGTAGGTAAGCGTCTATCTATTTGATGATCATGTAGTGTAGAAGGGTTGACGGAGAAGAACGAATCCGGACGAAATTTGTTCCTTTTCATTTTTTCCTTGAGAGACTGGTGGGTGTTCTCAATTTGGTTCAGAGCAGAATTGGCAGTTACTGCCAGGATATCTCTGGGTGAAATTGTCATGTCCTCGGCGTGTTTGTCATTGACAATATTGTTTTTTTTTCTCATTGGCTTTCAATTATCACGAACGTCCCCGTTGTTGGGGCGCCTGTTTCGTGATTGACTTTCTCGCTTTCGTCATTTTGTGTCTTGTGTGGTGTGATGTTCAGCCCGCATACTCGGATGCATCCAGACTCCAACTAACTCTATGCTTTTCTGCCTCTCTCTCGAACCTTCCCCGTCGTCTACACTCATCTATGCATTTTCACTTTGTATATTGTGAGGCATCTTAGAGAAGAAAATACAACACACGGGCCTCTTTATACATTTGATGGCCCGTCTGGCCCTCCGCGCTGGATGCTTTTTTATTTCGACATTGAATGCTGTCAATTCTTTGGCCTGTCAATGCTTCCCATCTACACGAGCATTCATACATTCGGTTCCTATGCATTACCCAATACAAAAAAAAATTGGAATGTGCCGACGGAGGGAAAGCCCAAAAGGCAACGCCGATGGTTGCTCGAATGTGACGAGATTTGAATTAAGGTAGCGCGGCTGAAAATACAATTGCATGAGTGGACAAAATTGGATGTGGTGACGGAAGGTTAAAACACAAGGCGAAGCCGATTGGTGCTACAAAGTGACACAAACTGAATTGAACTGGCACTCAAGAAGAAATGAACATTGTATGGTTGGTCCTCAATTTCCAAAAAAGGATTTCAAGATTCAACTCTGTCTCTCTGTCTCTCTGTCTCTCTCTCTCTGTCTCTCTGTCTCTCTGTCTCTCTCTCTCTCTCTCTCTCTCTCTCTCTCTCTCTCTCTCTCTCTCTCTCTCTCTCGCGCGCGCGCGCGCGCGCGCGCACACACACACAC